GGCAATAGGTTCCACTTCCTGCTTTCCCTTCCCATCTTCTTGTTCAGCAGCAGCTCTGGCACTCGTTGGGCCCTTCCATGAGCCACTGAGGCCCTGAAATGGTAGCAAACAGCCCAAAGAAGACACTCCTTTCAGCTGGCATCAAGCAATCAACCAGGTGAAGACTCGCTCCTGCCACGGTGCTGGCTGAGGCGGTGCACCCCGCTGGGCTTAGCTAAGCTATGCTCATGTCTCTTTGTGTCTGCTGCTGCTTCAGTCATCCTGCAGTGCAGTTCTGATAAAGCACGATTATTAAAAAAAGAAAGAAAGAAAACATTAGCTGATACTTCTGAGCTGACACCACTGTGCCCGAAGGTTGGTAGAGCAGTGGCCAAGAGGGTGCATTGCTGTGCAGTGCCAGAGCTGATCTTCCCCTGGGTGCCCTGGGATGCCCAGCAGCTCACACAGGCAGGAGGAATGTGGGATATTAATGCTGTTCTGGTAAGCTCACCCTGCTCTGTACACACGTGAGCACTCTCCATAAGTCACTGCAGAGCTCCCCTGGGAATTGAGCTGCTGTCCTTGCTGCATTGGGCAATGCTGCTGGAAACAGCAGCAGCAGTGCTCGTAGTGCTCATCTCTAGGACGGGCAGGGCTCTGGAGTTCAGCACAGCTGGATGTTGCTTCCTCTGGAGCTGTCTTCTGCGCCGTCCTTCCACCAGCCCTCTCTTCTTGTGGCCTAACCTGACTGGCTTTCACCTGCCAGCAGCCGTTCTCCCCGCGTGTTTCTGTTCCTCGTTATCAGTTGGTGTCCGCCTTCCCTGCAGTTACCCACTGCAGTCTTTTCCAGTTGCTTGAGGGCTGCATGTAACCCCAGTCTAGTTTTAGGTATTTCTGAGAAGGAAGGGGACCTAACTTTGGTGTCGGGGACCGCCAGATGCAGAAGGACAGCGATGATCTAGTTGCCCGTGGTTGCAGCCTGTGGGTGCTTCAGCAGAGGCCTAAAGCCCATCACACTTGCTACACACTCTCTCTTACAGCTGATCATCAGCTTACGTGTGAGCAGTTGGAGTTCCTCTGAGCTGTTAGTCTAATTGGTGTCACTGCTATGTCATTGCTACTTGTACGCAATTAGTCTCTTAACTTTCTCCTTTTTATTCCCTTTAGTAAGTTACTGCAAACCTGGGGAGTACAGGAGCGTTTTCTGGTAACGTGCTGCCTTTAGTTTCAGTTGTCCTCTCTCCTCCCAGCACGTGTAGTGTGAGTAACCTTCCTCTCTGCTGCTTGTTGCTGCTGTATTTTCTCGTGATTGGTAGTAGCATGTATCATATATTTCATTTTCTGCTAAGCGCCACCTTGCTAGCTGTTCTGCAAGCCAACAGATTTGTAGGCTGCTTTGGTAATGGCTCTTTAAACTAGTTATAAAACACAGAAAATGCCTGGAATATCATTTTTAGTGACATTTTCTGGTTTAGCACTTCCTAGACCAGAATTTAAATCACTGCATATTTGTTTTGTGGATATTTTCATAAATACCCTTTGCTAAGATGGACTGACCACAGGTCTCTTGAAAATGGCAGTTCTTAAGAAGAGTTTTTATGTTGGATGCGCTTGTGGAACATCTTGTTTTGAGGTTCATGAGCATGGGTGATTAGTTTCTTAAAACAGTATTAAACATTTTTGCTAGTATACTGGTAGATGATAGTTTGGAAAATGCAAGCTTCTAGGGGATTCAAAAATGAGTGGGTTGCCTTGTGCTCTGAAATTGTCTGTTTTTCCCTTACAGTGCTATGGTTTTCTGCCGGGAGGGCCAGGCCGTTGCCTGCAAAACGTCCCCGCTCACCTTGGCTCATCCTCAGCTCCCCGTTGAGGCTCGGTGGCTGCTGCGTGGCAGGTCCCCGCGCAGCCCGCCGGCTGCAGAGCCTTGTGCAGCCCGCGTGGCTGCTGCTCCCCTCCAAGCCCTGCCTGCTCAGGCTGCTTCCTCCTCCAAATAAAGCTTCTAATTTGTTCATACACATATTAGGTAAAGTGAGTGAAAGTTTCACGCTTGCTAGATGCATGCTTTTAGTGACTAAATGGCCACAATACCGCGTATTCTTTGTTTAGCTCTGTCATGTACTTCCATTAAGGAGCATTCCTGAAATCCAGGAGGGTCCTGCGCAGCTGCAGAGTGCCAGAGGCAGAGCAGCCCCGAATCCCAGTGCTGCTTTCTGTCTTAGCTTGAACTGCTGTTAGAAGATTGTATGAAACTGCAGAAACTGTTCTGCCTTTCCAGCGATGTGTTCCCTCCTGAGATAACGCTTACTTTAAATCAGTTGCAATTCATCTTTGGCTTTGATGAGTGTGAGTTTGCCTCACTTACACCTGATGCAAAAATCAAATCCTGGCTTGGGTCTGTATTTCCTCTAGAGCTTCCTATTCTTCACTATGTCCTAAATATTTTGTCTTAAACCTTTTGATAACTTCCCATTCTTACTGTATGCTACATGCTGCAGACATCAAGCTTTGTCTAAAGCAGCATCTCGAATCCCTGTAGCTTTTAGCAAGTTGTTTTTGTGCTTCTGCCCTGATTTTCTTTTTCAGGCTGACGGTCCAAGATTCTCCTTTGGACACTTTAGTAAGGTGCCTCCAGCACAGGGGTTATGGGATGCCAGCCAGGAGGCTTCTGGTGACCCAGACTGCTGTAATCTCTGATGTTCCTGGTGATAATCACTGTTCTGTCCCTTAGTCCATGCATTTGATGGTCTCTGTCCTGGAGGGCTCTTTGTCCCCCTCTATAGCACGTGGCACAGCAGAGCTGGCCCTGGTGCAGTGCAGCCGCTGTGGAGGAGCAAGGCAGCATGAGGAGCAGTTCTTAGAGGGTGTAAATGTCATTTTCTGCATAGAGGATTTGAGACACTGGAGTGGGTGCAGTAATGGCAGGTCTCAGCTTTTACGGCTGCTTAAGTCAGGTAGTTTCTAGGCCTTTTCAACGGCGTTTGTCCAAAATGCATCTTTTCCTCATGTTTTTCTTATGTGTTGGATTTGGATTTCTTCTTTTGTACTGTGTTCTTGAAAATCCCTGACTTCTGAACAGCCTTTGAGGGTGCCCTGGGCCTGCTGTGGGCTGTCTCAGGAGTTTGGCAGCTGCTGTTGCATCTCACCATGATGTGAACAAGAGCTGAGTGCTGCTGCTTGGCCTCCAGGGCCTTGGATATACGTCTCAGAAGGAAGGTTTTGGAAACTGATAACCTTGGTGCTTTCACATTCTGCTTTGAGTAGGTAGACAAAAATATTTCTCATAAAGAGATCAGCAAGCTTTGGGAAATCTCTGGATCACTCACGCAGCCAAATTATTTCCCAACACAAGTGTTGCTCTCGCACTTGGCATGTGAAAACAGTGATTGGGAAAGGCTCCTGCTCAGGAGTTTCGTTCCGCTAATTACCTCATGCCACGTGGACATGAGAAGTGCCAGGAATTTGGTCTTCAAAGTTAGTCTGAATATTTGCCAAGAGCCAGGAGCAGCTCTGCCACCTGAATATGGACAAAGTGAACTTGTCTGGAATATCCTCCCCGCTGGTCGTGGCAGTTATTAATCTTCTGCCTTTATTTCTTTGGCAGCAGGGACATGTTGCCAGCAGTGGAGCTGCACAGATCTGCTCTCCTGAAACTCTGTGGCAGGGCGCACTGCCAGGCAGGTGTCCTAAGCTTGCCTTAAATGCAAATTAAATGCAGTTGAAATGCAAGAGCATCCCTCTCTGTTCACACAGCAGCAAGTGGGTAAAGTGAGTCCCTGCTAACACACCCAGTGCTGGGAAGAGGCGCTGGAATTTGGTGGGAAAGAGGAGCTATTAGTTCAAGCAGCCACTCAAATCTACATGCACATGCAGCTTGGTGGAGGGGGAGGAAGGCCAGCCTGAGCTACAGGATAATGCACAATGCTGGCCTAGCTCTTTGAGAATATAAAGCGTTAGGTAAACATGAACTAATCCGTGCAAGAATGTGTGTCCTCTGCTGACTAAGTCGGCTCTTAGAAACCCCCAGCCCTTCTTTGTCTGCTGGGTAGCAATGAGTCAGGCTCTGTCACAGCTCTGTCTCATCTCCCTCTCATTTATTAATGCCCAGAGGAGTTTAAATGTTTGACTGATAAAGGGTGTTGACTTACAGGACCCTTAAATGTTTCAAAAATGAAAACCATGAGAGGCTGGAATAATGCTGTCGCGCACCTGGATGCGGAGTGCTGCCTGCAAGAGGGATGATGTGGAGCTTGGAGCTTCAGCGTGGGCACAGCTGATCTCGTGCATGTTCCTGCACATTCCTCCCGCCTCTCAGAGGGCGTTTTAATTCAGAGCTGAGCCTCAGAGGGGTTGAACCAATTCCAGCAGTGTAAAATTAGTCTTAAAAGCACCAAGGACTAGTCTTTTTTTTTTTTTTTTTCTCTCTTTTTTGAGAGAGATTCATGTGGCTAACACCTCCTTGAACCAGCACTTGAACTGAGAAAACCGCAAGCAGCTCAATAAATATGCAGGAACAGACTGTTTAATAGCTGTGATTCTTTAGGTACCTTTTTGGAGGAGAACAAGTGTTCCTAACCTGGGCATTGTGGAAGCAAATGTTCCCAACTTGTTAGGAGAGCGATTGGCCCGCGCGGCCCGTGCGCCGCCGGAGCAGGCCGAGCTCCGGCTGGCGCCGTGGCAGTTGTGCTGTGCAGCTCTGCTGGTTGCAGGGAGCGTTGTGAAGCCAACACAACTGTTACACTGCAACTGCTGGAAGGGCACGTTCGGTGCGAGTGTGTTTAAATTTGTTGTGCTGCGGCTGTAGTGTGTGTGTGTGAACAGTGAGCGCCTGCTGGTGCCATGGTCTGGCTCTGCCTGTGAAAAGTGCCACGGGGCTCAGCAAGCAGAGCTTGTGCCAGCCCTGACCCTGCAGGCAGCAGGGCCCCAGGTTGGTGCTCGGGTTGGTTTCGCTCTGTTTTACTGAAAACTTTTCTGTATTAGAACCATTTGCTTGGTGCTGAGAATCCCCCTTTGTGTTTTGTCTTTCCTAACGGACCTTCTTTCCTCGCAGGCGTGAATGACAGAGGAGGTGCCCCCGACGGCGCTTACCGACGTAAACCTGCGTCTCCTCTGCCACGATGACATAGACACAGTGAAACAGCTCTGCGGAGACTGGTTCCCCATCGAGTACGTGGCAGGTTTGGGAGGTGGGAGGGGAGGGAAGCGGGACACAAGTGGCGACAACCCACACGGGAATGGTTCAGAGCTGAGACCAAAGGCTCTGCAGCTCTCTCTGGACCGTTGCTAAGCTGTGAATATTTTATGGACTGTGGCGGTGTCGCCCTGAATGGCCTGTTGCTGCCTGTCCTGCAGCACCATACAGCCATCAGGAGGGTTCTGTCTGCGGATTTTGACACATAAATGGCCTTTGTAATTAAGGGATGGATCTGCTATTGGGGAGAGACTGAGGGGAATGGGATTATACCTTCGGGAAAAATAGCAGTGTCTGTGTTGGTGAAAAAAAGTTGTGTTCTTGAGGGAGTACAAAGAAAACACTCAGAGCTGACCCAAGCTGACAAGAAATGACTGTTCCTAAGGGACAGTCATTTTGACTGTCCTGGGAGGACAAACAGTACTTGCCTGTGTTCCCAAGGTTGCTTCCAACTGCTCCCAAAGAACAATGCTGTTCAGTCAGATTTTAGCCTCAAACTTCATTTTCTCTAAACACTCCTGATTTTTCTTTCTTTCCAGGTACCCTGACTCATGGTACCGAGATATCACTTCCAACAAGAAGTTCTTTTCCCTTGCAGCCACGTATAGAGGCTCCATCGTGGGAATGATAGTAGCAGAGATCAAGAGCAGAACAAAAGTGCATAAAGAGGTAGGGAAACTGTTTTGGTATGAGATGTCCCACCACTTGCCGTGGTTACCTGGAATCCATTTGGGGTATTTTTCCCTTGTTCATCTAAGCACTTGTAAGAGCCATCCTGACCTAATCAAAAGACCAAAATTAGGCTGATTTCCAGCTAATGGAGCATTGGTGATGAAATGTGTGTGAATGTGTGCAGGGCTTAAAGGCTTCTGCTGTGCAGCCTGTGACCAGAAAGTCTCTACCTGCTGGGGCAGGGCAGCTGCGGTCGGGTGGGAACCTGCCTGAGGCTCTGGTCAGGTAATTCAGACCTCCTCTAAACGTGACCTTGCAGCAAGCTGCTCTGCTCTGCCCGGCTGTTTTCAGTGTACCTGGTCACAGTCATGACAGGAATATGCAGCCAACCTGGGCAAAGCGGGCAAAGCTCCCTTTGTGGGAGGGCAAACCTCCTTTCTCATGTAAGGCTTGAACTTCTGCTGTAGGGAGTGAGTCACTCCTGAGCTCCAATTTCCTGTACAAATTAGTGTGTCCTTCATTTGAATAGTCACTGTCTCAAACATGACAAATCTGCAGAGGGCTCAGGTTTTGTGGGTAAGAGAGCTGGAAGGCTCGCAGTGAGAACACAGGATGGCCAGAGGCAAAGAGGAAATTCTCTGGGAAACTAAGAGGGAAAAGTCACCAGAGAGAACAGCCTAGGAAAATCAATAAAGCAAAGCAATGCAGAAAGCCCAGGAACAGAGGAGTTTCCCACTAACCTTGTTTTAGATGTCCCAGTACAGGATGTTTGCTTTCTCCTCTCCCTCCCCAAGTATCCTGCTAAATAACTTGTCTTTACTCAGGATGGAGACATCCTAGCTTCCAATTTTCCCGTGGACACTCAAGTTGCTTACATCCTAAGTCTTGGAGTGGTGAAGGAGTTCAGAAAACATGGGATAGGTAAGGCGCTGTTAAATGGTGGCCCTGTTGCTGGGTTTTGTGTGTCCTGCGTGGCTAGCAGGCAGGAGTGAAAAGCAGCAACATTTCACTCCAGTTGCCCGTTGAGAGCAGCTTGTGTCTGACTTGAGCCATAGCTGAGGTGGTGACACGTTCGCTCACACCCTGTAGTTGTTAATGCAAGTGCAGCGAGAGGCCTCGGCGGGGCCCAGCTGGGCAGGGGTGTCACTAGCAGAGTTGATGTCTGACTTGAAGGCCTCCTCACTAGTGAGATGAGTTTCATACCTGAACCACAGAGCACAGCCCTGCTGAGTGTCCTCATGAGGCACTGGGATAGCTGGGTGGGAGCTGGGATTCTTTTTTCTGAGCACGTGCAGCAATCGTTGCATGAACAGTGGGTGGAGGTGATCCCCAGGGGAGCTGAGCTTCCCTGTGCTGCCCCTGGGAAGGTGCCTGCGCTGATTCTGCTCTTCCTCCTTTTGATAGGTTCGCTCTTGCTTGAAAGTTTAAAAGATCATATATCAACAACTGCCCAGGATCACTGCAAAGCCATCTATCTGCATGTCCTCACCACTAACAACACAGCAATAAACTTCTACGAAAACAGAGACTTTAAACAGCACCACTATCTTCCCTATTATTATTCCATAAGAGGGGTCCTCAAAGATGGCTTTACCTACGTTCTCTACATCAACGGCGGACATCCACCCTGGACAATCTTATATCCTTTATCCTTGAGTGTGATTAGCCTGAATGAGCTAAGCAAACACAAGCCATGTTTTGGGTTAGAAACAGCAGTCTAGCAAAGCATGGCCTGGCTAGGTCTGGGGACTGATGCCTGTGCAGATGTGGGCTTAATTGAACTGATTTCCTTGAAGCCAGGAGGAAGGCAATATTATGGCCAAACTCCACGTATATTTTCCAAGTCTCTGGGAACAGTTCTGAAAGTCAGTGTAGGGTATAGTGCGTAGAATCCTAATCTGGGACGAGTTTGATGCCAGTGAAAGCAAGCACTAGTGTTAAGTTAGCATTAAGCATTCTTTGGCCGAGGGGTGCAGAGTTTTCCCAGCAGCCTCAGATTCATTGTGTCAGAAGCTGCCTGCTCTTATGGTGCAGGGTGGGTCTACTTTTAATAGAAAGGAGCAATTCCTTAAGAGTGAGGAGCAAGTCAGTCTAAATAACTGAGTAAAGCAGCTTCCAATTTGTCTCACAGGCTCCTCCAGGAGTGCTAGCCCAAAGAGTGTTTTAAGTTATTTCTTTCATTACAATACGGATGTTGTCGTCCTTAACTGATGGCCACTGACTACCTACAGCACATTGGGTCAACACTAGCCAGCCTGAGCCCCTGTTCAATCCCACAGAGGATATACCGGCAAGCCCAGAGCCTTCTCTGCAGCCTCCTGCCGTGGTCTGGCATCTCTGCCAAGAGTGGCATTGAGTACAGCCGCACGATGTGACTCCATGAGAAGCTGCACAGGAAGCCAAGGTGGGCAGCGGAGCCCAGCTCCGCCGTGTGCTGGGGCAGTTGAGGGGGTGCTCGAGCGAGGGCCGTGAAGCTGCAGCTCTGCGTGCTCTAGTTGCGGGAGCTGCAGTGTCTGGTGTCTTGTCTTGCTGTGCTCCACTCTCCAGCTGGTCGTCAAACACCTGTTGGTTCCACCTGAAGGGAATTCAGGGTCTGACCTTGTTCACTTGTGCCCAGAAGCTGACAGCAAATTCAGCCTGTCCCTGGCCCTTTTCCCCAGCTCTGTTAAAGGAGCTTGAAAGACCCAGCGCAGGAGTCCTCACCCTTGCCCCAGCACCATGTAGAGTAGCTGAGCGCATGTTTGCTGCCGTCTGCATTAAACTTCTCTGACAAAGTCTTCAGGGCAGCAACTTCCCAACATGATCTAAGAGACCCTGTTCCTTTGTGCAGTGACAACTGTTCTCCCTAAGACTGTTGCTCTCTTTGTCTTTCTATCATCTGTAGGATTGTTCTTCCTTCCATCTCCCGAACCACCGGCTCTGCTCTGATTCTGGTGATGACGTTGGCTTTTGGTCAGTGACCCAGCCCTTTGCAAAGGACTCCTTTATTTCTGCAATTTGACCAAGATTTGGCAGACGTCGTGTTTGACTGGCTGCAGCCCTGACTTACCCTGTGGCCTGGAGTCTGCGAGTGCGGCACGGCCGGGCCTGGCTCTCCGTAAGGCGTCTGGCTGTGCCCCAGGCGAGGGCCTTCCGCTGTCCCGGCTCTACATGCAGGTGGCACCGGTTCCTGCGGCTTCCCCTGCCTATGGCTGCTTCACTCGTGCTCTTGCGCGTGATGCGAGGGCTTTGGGTGCTGCTCCCACACTGTAGCTGCTGAAGGTGACATGAATGAGGTTAACGACGCTGCATGACCGACCATGAGCTGTAAGCAGCCTGGCAGGCCCTGCCAGCAGGGAGGGAGCTGCGTGCTAGTGGCGGGGCAGTGGGGAGCTGGGTTGACCCCACAGGGTTGATCTGGGTCTTGCTGGGTCAGCGGCTGCTGCTGGTTCTTCCCGCCCCATTGCAGGAGCTCCCAGGGATTCCTGCCCAGCCCCGCCGGCCCTTCTGGAGCTGCCTAACAGAAGCATCCAGTTCAGGATGCATCAAGTAGGAGGCAGGGAAAGAAATTGCTGTTTCATAGTGAAATATATATTATATTGTGCAGATCTTCCTGCCTCTGTCCAAGCTGGAACTCAGCACGGGAGGGGGCCGGGGCTCTAGAGCGGATGCTTCAGCTAGAGCCCTGGGGGACTGGCACAGAGTCCTCCTCCTCCTCTGCATGTGTCTTCCCTTGGCCCGGGCATCAAACTCTTGCAGGATCTTTAGGAATCAGGGCTGTGCACAGGTCACTAGGGCTTTTATTTGCCTGTTGAAGAAAAGCCACCGCCGCCGCCCACGCGTGCGTTTGAGGAGGCAGTGCCTGCTGCGCGGGAGCAGGCGCGTGGTGCAGCGGGAGCTCCGGTTCCCGCTTTGCCTTTAGGCTGCGGGTCTTTGCAGGAGGCACAGGCACAGCAGCACCTGCAGGAGAGCAGCTCTGAGTCCCTCCTGCCCTGGCCAAGGCGCTGTCCCTGCTCAGCCCCGTGTCGCTCATCCCCGCTCTCGTGCGCCCGCTTTGGAGCGGGGAGCAGGGGGAGGCAGGAGCTGCACAGTGTGCGCGTGCAGGCCGCGCCGGCCGCAGTGACGTGTGAGCCCAGGGAGTGCGAGTGACAAGAATGCGGGGCAGCTGTAGGTCTAGAGGGACAAAGAGCGTCAAGATCTTGCAGCCCAAGTGCTTTTGTACAGTCGTTTCAGTCTGTGGAGGCTCCTGAGACTGGTGTTAAACACGGACGGGATGCAGGAGAATTTGCTGCGAGCGCTGCCGCGGCGGCTGCTGCCGTGGGAGCTGGCACCGGCCCTGCCTGCTGCTGCTGGGGCAGTGGCTGCACCCCGCGTCCCCCAGCCCCATGTCCCTGGTGCAGGAAGCCCCTTTGGAGATGGCTTTTCCGCCGCTCCCTGGCCTGGCGGTGCTGGAGGCAGGAAGCATTTGGGTTTGGCTGAAGTGTTTGGGTCCAACCAGCGCTGGCAGAGGCTGCTCTGGAGGAGGTGCTGAGCCCTGGGCCGGGGCTAGGGCAGGGACTGCCCTTTGGGCAAGGGGAAAATGTTGTTCCATGGGGCTTGGCAAGCCCTGGAACAGGATCCCGGAGAGGAGGGCGATGGAGGCCTTTGAGACCCAAATGTTCAAATCCCTGAGATGTCCAGCCTGAGTCTGACGCTGACCCTGCTTGGAGGCCTCCTGAGATCTCTGATGACCCGAATTTCCCTGTTCCTGCTGCCGGTAGCCAGGGATGGCAGCGCAGGGTGCAGCCGGGCAGCACGGCCCTTGCTGCCTAGTGCGGGGGCCAGCAGGGCCCACACGCTGCGCAGGGACACGGGGCTCAGGTGACTTTTGTGGCAACTGAGCAGCGAGGAGGGAGCCGCAGGAGGTGCTGGGGCTGCACGCGGCGGTGCCAGCTCCATCCCGGCACCGCGATGTCGCCAGCCTGGACCAAAAGGTGCTAGTGGCCTTGGGCGAGCTGCAGCGGTCGAGGCTCTAGCAGGGCACAAGCGGCTGTGGCGCAGGGAGCGACACAGACGTTTGGCTCAGCAAAAACCGGAGCCAGGCGGAGCTGCGCGCAAAGGGGCCGCTCTGCAGCGTGGGCGGCTGGCGGAGCTGCCTGGCCGCTGCGGCCCTGGGGC